AGTTTTTCTTGAGTGATTCTGGCACTATGGGTTCTTGCATTGTCATGTTGGAGAATAATACATTTTTGAAACAAAGCCATGTTTAGTCTAGCTAAGCACAGTAATATTCAACAGTTATGGGGTCAATAGGATTCAAAACCTCGTAGTGAACAATTGAAACGTCAAATCCCACCATACTGACAGTAACACTTTTTTAGGATGAAGACCTAGTTTTGGAGTGAGCCCTTGTGTCAATCATTGTTTTTTCTTATGTGGATTGCTGTATAGAATCCACTTTTCATCTCCACTAACAATTTGTCGAAGAAAAGCATCTTTACCTAACATTTTCTTTGAAACTCATAAAGCATCAAATCTATAATATGGAATTAATTCACAATTTCGTTCAAATGTTTTTCAAAATTTAACAATAAGCAACACTAAATGTCAATGTATTTAACTAGAATACAAGTTATGTCACAATACGTTAAATTATTGTCACTAGATAGCAAACGTTTATTAAATTTAAAGAAGAAAACGACATTGCTCACGGATGGCCCTGACATTTACACGAAATTTGAAAAATTTAATAATACACAGAATATTCGTTATAATATTCGGTGAGCGTGACGGATTTACGTAGAAATCAGTCTACTAATCATTAAACGTTTGCAATGCGAACAATTCCCGCGAGTTGGGTTCGGAGCCGATAAAGATCATCAGAGAGAGGGGTGAATCCTGCTGCGAGCGAGTGGGATCTGCGTACACGGTTTCTCGTTGTTATTGCGCTTGGAATGCCAGATCTATCGGGTCGACGAACTTCGAATAATTCTTGTTTACGGAACACGCCGCGTGACTTTCCCATCGGCGCTGCAAAGCCGCGATGAAAACCCTTTCGCTAACGAGCAAAACTAATTACTCGAATTACAGGTAACATAACGAGTAAACAGTCTTTGCGAGTCGTTCATTTGCAAGCGTAACGCAGCCGTTAATTGTGCCGGTGCGGCTGGCATATTATTCGGTCGACAGGTCCGATAATGCGTACATATTTTAAAGCGATTACGCCCGAGCTATCGAATCGTTCGACGTAACAGGTGCAAATGCGATTAGCGGCCTTACATTGCGTACGCGTTCTAATTAATCCCGGCGATCTCGATCCGTTTGAACCGCGCCGGGATTATTCGTTCCCCCTTTTTTTGCGAGCGTTTCTTGCGTTTCACGTTGCCCTGTCCGTCTCCCCCTGTTTCTATAAATGTCTCCCCCACGACAGGGAGACAGATTGGTCGCATGTGAGTCGCCTTCCTACCGTTTGTGGCAACTATCCACCCCTGAAAACACGTCCGTCTCTGGATGAAAACGTCCGACAGGAAACATTCCCGGGGACGTTCCCGTAACGATCCGACACGACGCGACGTTTAAACAGAACAAGATACGTACGGAATAATGTTAAGGGTGTCGCAGCCCTCTCCTTAATGCGACAAGGTTCGTTGAGTTTCTCGTCGTGCAGATTGCGGACCAAAATCATTTAACGTGACCCTTGAACGAGAAAACGAGCAAACGTGTTTTCATCGATCGCAAGGTTTGTTAAGCGAAATGGTTGGAGTATCATTCGCGAGAAGTGACAATAGTGGAAATCAAGGATGGAATCGAGGAGACAGGTTCGGCTTCCTTTTTATATGCCCAGCGCCGATTTCTTTCCGTACGTTTTATCGTCGAACGGAGCGTGACCGAGGTGATTCCTTTCGGCGGGAATACATTTCAGGGTCCGTGGGATACATGCAGGAAGCGACAGTTGGCGCAAAAGATTTTAGCATATGTCGAAATCCGCCGCGAGTCACATACACGTGCATCGTGACGATATCGTGAACGAATGAATGAATATGCATCCCATTCACAGGAACGTCACGGTGTTTGCTGTATGTGACTGTTTGAGGTGGACTCGCCACGAACTCTGTGCGCGATCTCCGATGACCGCCGATTTAAAACGCCGCGCTGCCGGAAGGGAACGCCTGTGAAAAGTTGCGTGGTTCGTGAACGAACGAAAGACAAGTGCCAGAGCGTATTTCAGCCGGAACGCAGGTATCTTACGCCTGTTTGCACAGAAATTGTAGGCTCTCGGTGTTCGATTCTTCTTTTTTTTTTTTTTTTTTTTGTCGTCGAACCTATCTGGTGCCCGCGAATTATATAAAACAAATTTACCGTGCTCGCACGATCGTCGATAAGGCAATCAAAGACGAACGCGATGTTTGATCAAGTGATTTCAAAAATGGAGAATGGCCTGCAACAATTACGCGCGATCGAAAGGAACGGAAAGGGAAATGCGACGTGCCTCGTCCGACATCCGATACCGTTATGATACTGTTGTCGCGTTATTCAAGACAAGAACAACAACGTTCGGCTGTCAAACTCGATACAATCGAATGGCCGATGACGAACTAAGGGAAGAATACAATCATTTCAAGATATTAAACAATTGCTTTACAATTACACGTACGAGTTTCGCGTGGAAAATTATGATCATTTACATTAATCAAAGTACATCATCCGCGGGGAATTAATTTAAAAGGAACGGGAGTTTCAATGCTCTGTAAAAAAAAAAGAGAGAAATGCGTTTACAGTTGTGCTTCTTCTTTTTTTGGTCTGTAACGGTCTGATTCTCTAGCGTTAATATTAATCAGACGTGTTCATGAACTGGGCATATTCATGCTGGTCACACGCGCGAAACGTTTGAACACACTGTGTGCTTTAAACTGGACGCTTTCCAATGTATGGTCAGTTCCTTGTATCGATCGCTAGGGAATTTCTACTCCTAATTCAATAGTGCATCTCAAACTGTACCGTATTGAAAATTGAAGAGACCATATTTTCCTAATGAGAAATTTCTTTGAGCCATTTGCCAGGATAATTTCGGCAGGCTAATTTATCACAGTAATAATAACTGAACAACGAAACAAATTCTACCTTGCGAAATGCGTTATATTTGGTGTTCTCTGATGGCTTTTGGCTGAAGCAACACGAATCGCTAATTCTACAAGTTACTCAACGATGATTGTACACGCTCGATGCAAAAGTGTATAACAAACGAAATTTCAAACATAACTAAGAACGATTCGAGAGATATAGGAAAGAGATATACAAGGAGAAACGAGTTTGCATCTGTCTGGTGTTTTTTTGAACATCGGTACATCTCTTTTCGATCGGTACGTCGATAGGGATCGTTGAAATTCGAGAGCTTGGGTTGAGTGAAAAATTTGAAATATCAGCTGTCGTCGGATACGCGAAATATTGATGTCACTTTTAAAGCGCTCCTGCTGGTCGAAGGCTCTCGGAAGGCGTGTCTCCGCCGAAGATTGGCAGCTGCGTGGGTTGTTACGGAAGAAATGAGTCGATGAACCGCGAGGACACGGTTCAGAGAAGGATTTTCGTACATGAAAAGTTTTTTTACCAAGTTTTCATTCTTTATACGAACCGACCGAATCTCACATTGGCAGAGTCTCTGTTCGCTTTTAGACGATCAGGGGTTAAAATATTAACAAAAATCTAAACAAAATTCTACCCACGTAGTTTATAATAAATAGTTTATTAATATTTGAGTAATTAGAAGGGAAACTGAATAAGTCCGAATACGGCGATGACAAAGAGATATCAGTTCTCTCTTATTGTTTGTTCTGCACGCTATCACGACTCGCTATTGCCTATACTCTCTCGCTACGACTCACACGCATACACACATACAACCGTATATTGTATGTTGTATATTTTAAGATAGACTAGAACGACTGACTAGACAGACATTCCGAAGTCCGTCAAGTTTTTTTCGCTGCGACAATCGGACACATAGCAGTCGATAGTTGTCTCAGTCTTCGACCGCATAGAAAGAAAAATTCTGAACAATGAGACTTCCGCCCCCACATGTTCTAGGCATTCGGAGCAACGCATTCGAATGCACTCACATCTTTTTCACGCGAAAGAATAGAAAAAGAAGACTGGAGGCGAAATTATGCGCGAACTAGCTGCAGAGGAATCCCAGGGGCGGAATGGTATGGTAACCCAGAGCTAACTAGCGGCCCTTGCCCCTACTTTCCGCATTAGCTAGCCCCTTCACTGCATCGATTTCCGCGCATCTCCCCACTCTCTTAGTCTATTCATTTCCCTACTAAGCAATTGGAGGGAAATGAATCAACCTCGGTTACGTAATCAATGCTTGCTCCAAAGCTATTAAGAGAAGTCAAATCACCGAAGCAAGTGTAAAAAAAGACGCAAGTGGAGAAAAACGAGAAAAGTAGACGTTTGACGATCGAGCTGCTAGGAGGTCTCTGAGCTGCCGCTTTTTTACAAGCTTCTGAAGAATTCTGCGGAGGATACCAGTGTCTGTATGTGAGAATTTCCTACCATTCTACTTCCCGTCATTCTGCCAGCTACACTCTCGCAGAAACGTTTCAGTTTTTCTCCGTTGGTAACGCGAACGGCAAACCTTCCCCGGTTTCATCTTCCCCGGCTCTAAACAAGCTCGATCCGAACGGTTCGTTCGATTTTGTTTCAGCTCGTACGTATTGACTGATCTCTCGTACGATCGGTTTACCACTTCGGAATAACAATTCGATACGGCGACATCGTCTCGGCGACATCGACATAACTTCCGATCGAGCATACGATCCATCGGAAAAAAATCTATTCGTCGAACGATTAGCCCCTTTTACGCCTGTTATGCTCGACGATTCTTTGAAGATAAATATTATTCGTAAACTTCATTGAAAGATCGATAATTTCTCGTATTACGAAAACACAATAAAGTTTCTTGCTAACGAATGAAATCGATGCAAGAATAGGTGGAAAGGAAATATAAAAAGTCCATTCTTCCGGTTATGGTTCCCTTATCTTTCGTATGTACGTTTCATCATCTCGAGTCATTGTGCAAGAGTGGATAATTATCCCGTTAATCCGTATTTGCGCGTGCGTTTGTTGCACTAAAATTAGCTTTCCAATCTAGGTTAGTAACTGCACCTGGCCCACAAGTAACTATCCTTTCTGCCAGTTGCAGTCTATGTCTTGTACCAGCAGCACCGTCTCCGTTCCTCGCGTGCAATTATAATCGTCCTCTATCGTGTGTTTAACGCCAGTGATATTTTACATAAAAGTTGACAGACACAAAATGGATGCGAACCAGAGTGACTCCGGACATCAAGAACAACCCAGGTTAGTTTAAGGGTTACAATCGCGTTATTTATTAACGAGCGATTAGAAATTGTATCTTCTAAATGTGCAATCATGTTATGTTGAAGTTATTATCGACATTGAACGATCGAGTACAACGACAGAGAGATACAATTGTACCTAGATGCGACGTAATCAGCTAAATGATTGCCATTTTGCCATTTTTCAAGAGAACTACTAGGCTGTGACCTATGGTTCCTTGGAAAAGTAGAAAAGTCACTTTCGTGGTGAGTAGAACACGATGCAAACAAAAAAAAAATTTTCACCTTGAAATTCAAGCCGAAGGTCAACTTTGCAGCAGATTCTTCACGCGTTTCTTTTTAAAATCGAAGGTATAGAATTCGTCTACGATAGCCACGGACTGTAAACTTTTCTCTCCACGTACATACGTAACATTGAAAGTGTCAAATATCGATATCCGTGCGAATGCGCACTGACAGTATCTCCCGTTGGCTATGTGCGCGCGCACTAAAATACCCCCTTGTGCCTTAGTACCAGTCCACACCCCCGATGAAAACGATGAGATTATCGATCGTGTTGGTATCCAACTTTTCGCTGACAGTTAACCGTGGAGACAGATTTCTGGGATACGCAAACGCGTTGTCACAGGATGAGACGAGACTGAACTGTGTAATCTGTGATCTGTGATAAAAGAAATTTGCAATAAATCTACGACGATTTTCTTCCCTGTGACAGTGAGTACATAAACGAAAACCACGGCAAGGATACTTGTATTTTCACTTGTGCACGAGACTTTCCGAACGTTCTGCATGAATTGGTATTTTCAACGTGAACTTTACCCTTTGTCTTACACATTATGCACGGTGTTTATTTTTTGAAATTGTGGATGAAATTTGAGAAGCGTAAGTAAAATAATTAACTCCTTGACATACGAATTGAATAAAATTCGATATCACGAAAAAAATGATATTTGTTTTTCATTCTAATATTTGTGCACATTTAACAAAGATCAGTTTTATAATATCTCGCGCTTGTACTGCAAAATGTCATGAGCGCAATACTTATAAAAAAAATTAATAAAAAATGACAAAAGGACAAATTAATAATTCAGTAGTTCTTACGAAACGAATGACGTCTCTCAGACATCATTGTATGTCAAGGGGTTAATGACGTTTGCAAAGAGCCTCGAAACATTTATGTGACTAAAGTATCATAAAAAATGAACTGGTACAGTTTTCGACATTTCGATGATTTATTTGATAATCATGGAAAAATCTTTATGGTCAATCCGACAGTAATTCAAATAAAACGATAATTTCAAATTTTATAAGTTGACAATACTTGCACGAATGACACGCACGAATAATTAATCTTAAAAAAGTTACCTGATTTTAACAAGGTCCAATTAACTATAGTGTCACGCACGTTTGTTTCCTTTTGTTGTACGAGTGATCTTGAATCCATTGTTCGTGCTTTACTTTTACCCTGGAACATTAAATTTAATCACTTGTTTCATGAGCTTGGTCGAGTAGTAAGAAGTTCGTTAGCTGTTAAAAAGTTCTGATACGAAACCAGTTTATAATCAAAGAAATAAAATATGTATCGATACAGTAATGCCTGCTTTTATATGATAGAAATTAACTTTGATAGCAATTGTTCTTGCAATTTTGCAAAGAAACCTCAAAGAGACTGTCGTTCTTAAAAAAGAAATTATTCGTTTGAAAAATTATAATCATCGATCGAAAATTTGGTGTTGTATGTGAAAGTTTATCTCGTTTATGTGTTAAATAACATGTATTATACGGTACAGATTTCTCTTCTGTTCTTCCTTTCTCGTTTGCCAACACGTGTGTGCAAGCTTGCATACTGTGCAACGTGGCAAGTCATTCTGCCACCTATCTGTTAAATCGTGTATAGCATTAGTAATTAAAACTCTCAGGCATGAGAGTTTCTTATTCCTTCATTTATGTGTAATATGTCACTTTCATCCTTCTGCATAACATCTTCGCTTTCTATTATGTATTTTTACATGTAGCTTGACCCCTCAACTCGAACGACCCTTTCTTTCTTTTCTAACGCAAACTTCATCTGAATGTGCAAAGAGCTCGTCTCATGATGCAAAATCCAAATATCGATATACAAGAGGGAAGAAGACTTCGTAACGCGCGTAGAAGACTGTTTGAAGATGACGACGACGATGAGACGGTACGAAATTCTGGAGTCGAAGACAATATTGCGAATTGTATTTTCGAAGAAGCTAGGAAAAATCGGGAAAATGTGCGTAATACATATTACACTTATTCATCTTTATCTCGAGTGATTAACTAAATTGTGTTTAAACTGTATTTTTTTTTTTTTGTCTCGGAGCAGGCTAAACAAAGATGGAATTTTGATTTCGAAAAGGAGCAACCTTTACCCGGTCGTTACGAATGGGTGAAATTAGACGAACATGGAAATGAAGTATATAATCCGCTGGAGACAAAAGATAGAGTAGAAAATTTACAAACGATGCAGGAAGACAATGACGTTACGATGGAAGATCATACAGGTGACTACAAGACAAGTTTGCTCACGCTGGTTTTTATTGCTGGAAAACAAGAAATTTCTTTTCTAGGTGGAACCGGAGAATAAAACCTATGAAAGTGACTAAATTGCAGTCAGTAAAATTGAGATAGAAATTACGATATAATTGGTCAAAAAATATGTATATTGACTTCTAGTCAGAATAGACACGCTCTAGTGTCTACAAGGCTAGTAAACCAAAGTTAATTTTTTTATTTAATTTGTTAAAAATTCTTCATTCGTAATGATATTTGTTATTGTATTAGTTAACCGCGATTATTTAACATTGTTATATACGTAATTAGCGAAGAAATGATATTAGAATGTGAATTTTATACTTTGTATAGATATGCGAAATAATATATTCTATTTATACAAAAGTTTATGATCCTGTGAGTGATTTCCGTATTCTTTCTCTTTCTCCTACGCTTTAATAAAACAAAGCAACTGCAACGTAAGATTCATACAGACGGATTAGAAGCTCTCTGAAGCATATGGTGCACGACTTATGCGTGACCTAAATTCTACGATACGAGAATAAGATGACACATCTGCTGTATACATCTAACAAAGAAACATAAACTATTCGTCTAGCGTAGAATGACGTTTTAAAAGTGCAACAATTACTACACGACGACGACGGTTTCGCTCGATTCCACGAGTATCACGATTTCTTAAAATTAATCTCAAGTTCTCGTGAGAAGGCAGCGTGTGCACCTGGCATCACGGTTTCTTAAGAATCGTTTTTTTTTTTTACTTTGCTCGTGCTATGGAAGCTGGCCACGATGATGGTGGTGTACCCATTGCCAGAAATTGCACTTCCGTTCCGCGAATTCCCACGGAAGTGGGTACAATCGCGACTACGACAAAAGATATTCGCGTATAACCTGCGCACCACCTTCATTGTTCTCTGCAACTATTCAATACTTCTACGCTGAACAATTATGTACCTAAGTATTAACGGCCATCGCTAATGAAGGATCAATGAACTTCACAATTAAACGACGATTTCAATTCTAAATAATCAGTTATGTCATTTTAAAAAAAAAAAAACTATTGTTCTCAACCTCGATCTCGATCCACCACCTTGATCTCGATAAAGACGTGATTTATCACGGCGACATTTGCATTCTATGGCGGTGTACAAACGGCGAGATAACGAATACCGGCGATAAACTTGGATTTGATAGCGAAATTCTTTCACCGATGAAACAGGTGACTCTTTTAATAGCAAGCACGCGATGCAGCCACAGCCACGCGCCTTCCGGTCGTATATTCAAGATGTACAAATACACGACTTCCTCGAGAAGTAATCTGAAGTAGGCCTCACATAGGCTCATCGTTCGAGAGAGACAGACACATATGTAAGAAGAAACGGTATATATATTTATTTTCTTCGCCTACGACAAACCATGAGAGAAGAACACCTGTGCAACGGAATACCTTGCTAAACGGGTACCCCACCTAACCGCAGATGAAAGAGAGACGGGTAGTCTTTGCGAAACGTAAAAAGGATTGTTTTACACGACTCATTCGCTCGTTCTCCCCTCATTGAGATGCATCCGGTGCCACCCTCACCACTTCCTGGATGTTGCGTGGGATTTTCATTTTCAACAACACGCTTCCCAGTCTTCTCATGAGAGAAATACTCTACTCCGTTGCCGAATACATCTTTCGCACTTTTTTATCTTCTGTACCTCTGTATTGTCTATTTTCGTTAAAATAGTTATTCGTACGATGAAGAATATATTTTTACCGAATATAATATTGAATGATAACGATAGGACATTACAAGAGGAAAGATATTCTCGGGTTGGATAAAGGGTGAATTTTCCTCAGTTTCTTAAAATCTTTTATCGACGTAATCGACGTAACGTGGAAATAACAGGCACGAAGTCGTTCTTTGAATTTTGCTAGATTTAAATGTTTAAAAGTTTCCCGCGAGTGTACAGTGGCGCCACTTGGTCAGCCATATTCTACCAGACAGATATACACTAACACTACTCAACGTTGCTTGGCAAAGGGGCTCCCTGATTGGTCGCGATGATCATCCATGTACGGTTCACTCAACGCGAGTTGTTTCATACGCGATAGAAAACTATTTCCCCATTGCCTTTCCCTACGAGATACAAACAGATTCAGATCACGAGAACAGCAATGAGGTAAATTGACAATTATCATCGAAAAGTGTCGCTTCTCGTTTATTTGGTATTATTATCCCTCAGCAGTGTCGCAATAAGCATCTGTCGCTTGTCACATTTATAAAGTAAATGAGTTGAACACGAATTTACTTTTTATATTTACATAATGTTAATAAATCAGTACCCATTTGCGTATAAAAATATAAATATTCACGTTGATCAATGAAATATTTAAATTCATAAGTGTTATTTAAGTGTTTGATTGGTACATATTTAAAGACTCGTTGAGTTAATAAATTTGAACGATTGTAAAAAAAGTAAGATTTACTTGCGACTAATTAACGTATATGCTTACATCTCCCATTTTTCCTTCGTCCAAAAATGTTAATGTCAGATAAGATTTTATTTTTAAGTTTTGGAAAACATGGTGCTCTGGTTCTCACCATGGTGCCTAGGAACAGTAGCTCTTATCATCAGTTGAAATAAAATGACGATGATAATCTGAACAGTATGCAAATAAATTCATCGTATGTAACGTATTGCCATGCAAACATGGAAATCCGCCGAATAAACGTGCGCACGAGTGTCCGTGATAAGATTACAGTCGTTGTTTTGAAAGCTGGACTTGTTTATTTTTCGTTTCTTTGTCAGCATACAATGGGCTTCATTTCTCTTTTCTTTCGGTCAATTGTACATTTTTCACGCGAACGCATGTTATGAATTTATTAAACGCAGATATATCAGAAAATGCACTTTTTTTAAATTCTCAACTTGATTAAAGGTAGCAACTATTCACAAGACGCGGTACTGTACGAAATTCAACGATCGCTTTTCACGATTTCCAATTTTTAAGTTACCGTTTTCTGTTTTGAAGCGAACACAGATTCAATTGTGCGTTAAATGCGATCGCGCGTTTTGGTGAAAATGGGAGTGGTAAAAGAGAGAGGACAGTAACCTGCCTATTACTTTTCGCATCGTATAGACTCCGTGGATGTAATAAGGAAAGGTGTATGATATTTACCATGAAGACTGACATACTGGAACGCATCGGATAGCTACAACTCAGCATTCTGCTGTCGTTTATGTTGCCGTGGAAGAGGCCAATAACTGTATAGGCTTCTTTCTGGTACGTGTCTTCAAAGGCACGAAATGTTGCGCTCAGGTCGAAGCAACCATAGTCTGTAAATGGCGGTTATTTCGTTTCTTCCCTGATGCGTGAAGAGGGAAAAGGGGTGACACCGAATGAGCCGAAGATAGCCGAAAACAGCCGATATATTTAGAGGCTTGGTTACTTGCAACGAGAGGCACACGCTTCAGTCGCTAGAGAGCGCTTTACACGTGTGGAACGTGCTTTCGCGCAACTCCGTGCATTACAGAATACGCACGCACCTTGTCAGCGTCAACATAACTGCGCAATCGTGTACGACCTTCCGCCGAACTTGGAACCACGCGCGTGTCTTGACAGTCGTGTATTTGGCGGGAATTACGGTATATGTTTTCATTTGGAATTTACGTGGTATCGAAGTCGATTCAGTGGCTCCCCACCGTGTCAGCGGACAGCATATTGGTACTTTCGGGCCGTGTGCAATAACGTTTCCCGTAAAAATATTTTCGTGTCGAGCAAGAAGCCCTATGTGATACGTTCGTGTGCCTCGCACTGCGCAGACGTGACAATTGTGAACTCGCAGGATTGACGCACGATCGAACAGTTTTTTAATCTCAACGATAAACGTGGTAATAACCTTCGCGGGAACACGTCGAAACACGCTCGCTGTCTCTTGGAGGCTCACGCGCAAGTGCGTGCGACGTTGCCGGCTTCTCCTCCCCTCGGGCTATATCTGCAAATATGTGAGAAGAGGATGAAAAAACTTGAAAACAAATCCACGTTCGATTGTTGACATCTATTCCGGTTGTTTTGACTGTGGAGTTCCATCTCTGAGACAGTATGAGATAGCCGTTACTGTTTTCCTGTCTTGCCTTTCGCTCTCTCTCGTCGTAGTACGCAATAGCGTATCCACCGTGTTGCCAAACATACTGATTTATTGTACACGCTTCAAATCGCCGATGGTACACGCCGTATTAAAATATAACATCGAATTTGCGGATGCGCTTCGTGGAAAAATCCGCGTCGCCGAGTGTTGGGCGCAATCGTAGAAGAATCAACGATCAGCGTAGTAGCGAGGCGACGCTGGGTACGGCCATTATTCGAAATTCGGTGAGTCGCGCCACACGACAACGTTGCCACGTCTTCATGAACCGCGAGTATTTTCAACGTTCCGTGAACGATTCCTGGAAGAAGATTCATCATCTCCGTGAACGGGACGTGTGTACACACATATGTAACACGTCGAAATCAATACCGGAAAAGACCGATTTTCAACGTAGCGCTGCGCGTTCATTGAATCGGGCCCGTGTTGTTTGAGCTTAGCGGCGGCGGATCGCGAATCGAAAAACAGTAGCGGCGCTGAAAGGAGACAGAGGGAGTGAGAAAGAGGGAGAATAGACTAGAGAGAAAGAGAGAGAGAGGGAAGGAGCGAAGAAAAGAGAGAAAAAGTGTTGTAGTGACTGCGTGAAAAGAAACGGAAGCTGTTTGTCTCGTGAAAAACGCTTGGTTATTGGTAACTGCGAGGGAGAGCGGCGACATTGCCGGCGTGAAAGACTAACGAAATATGAGCGCTCGAGTGTTGAATCCGGTGATGATGACGGAAATGAGCAGGAATTTGGGTGGAGGACGAACGGTGCCGAGCAGAGCAGCCCTTGCCCGTGTTCGAAGGGACTTGTTCGGGCCTGTGGACCACGCTGCGGCTCGCGCGTTAGCCGAACGGGAGTTGCGCGCTCAATCCGTGCTCGATGCCGAGCGATGGGGATTCGACTTTCACTTGGAGGTACCGAAAACGAATTCGAGGTACGAGTGGGAGATGGTTACACCGCAGGACGTGGTGCCTGAGCCCTATGCCCTGCGGGGTATGCCCTACTTGAGGAAACACGCGCCAAGTACGCCTCGGAAACCACGAGATTCCTCGCCCACCACAAAACTCCTCCGTAAGGATCCTCCGTCTCCGAAGGTGACTCCGATCCTGTCGGCGTCGGAACGAACGCCTCCACAGGAGCCGAGAGTACCGCAGATCGGCGAGATCACCACCACCAGCGATCTGTTCGACTTCGACTCGGACAAGAAAATGTACATCGCCGAACCTACTACACCCATTCTATCAACCTCCGCAACGAGGAAACAGTCCTCCATAACCGGTAAGCAATAAACACGCATTATCCGTCTCATTATTTCTATTGCACGAGCTACGGACTAGAATGGTAATGTGCATAAGCACGTGCGCGATACCATTAGAAATAAAACGTTACGCCGTTAATTCGTATTTTCTGCTTTGCAAAAACTCTGTCGCTTATTTCTGAAAGCTTCGTTCGTTGGGAAACTAACTCTTTCTTCTGGGGAATAAATCGTTTATTTTCAACTCGAACGATCATCAATTTCTTGCGTATGAAGTCAGGAAGGTTGAGAAATTAAACGGTGCATTTTCTCTTCTATAATTTTGCCAGTCATGTAACAATAGTTTACAGTTTACGTCATAAATTGTATACTGAACGTGAACAAACAACAATTAAAAGACCTTCGAGATTGTCGTGGCACTTGTTTAGAAACACCGTTCCTCCCGTATCGTTTTGCCACGCGAAAAGTTACGTAATTACATACTCGGGACACAAGGTTTCCTGAATTATTCTGTTTGATTCGGCGCACATTATCGAAGTTAATTGGCTGACATTATTTGTACGGGAAGTAGTTTACCCTAGGTCAATCTAATTCGCCGATTAGCAAGGTCGTCATAATTTACGTAACTGCGTAAGCACCTGATAAAAGGAACGGATTGCGGCCAGTCATTGGTCGGTATGAAGTATAAAACTTTCCTTTCATAAAGAAATTATTTCCATCGATTTTGTTCGATCCGTCGATCGTGAAATCCAACGTAATCACTTATCCGAACGATGAGATTATTCCTACGAATTGAAAGATAGATAAAATCATCGTACTTTCACGGTTAACATAAATATCTGCGAAATGAAATTTGGCGTAAATATTTTTTTCTCCCAGATAATCATCGTTTGATAATTCATCGAATGTGAGCGTAAACAAGAATGACATAACGATAAATACTATTCGTAATTTCTGTAGCAAGTCTAGACAACAAGGCACAAGTGATGCCATCTGGTTGCTCGAGATCGCGTGTTTTCCATTGAGAGAAACAGAGAGAGAGAGAGAGAGAAAGAAAGAGAGAAATTAAATGGACGCTGCGCTTGATTCGTGTGTCTCTGTGCGTCTAGTTCGACATCTCCCGTGGCAGAGGATTTTCCGCGTAACGTTTGTGTGTTGCACACAACACGGCCATTTTGTTTGGACCCGTACCTCACGGTCTAGTTCCCCTTTTTTCGCCTATTTATTATTCAGGCGTGCACACCACCCACGCGACGCGACTATTTCTGGACGTGACTCGTCACATGTCTCGCACGCATGCATCTACACGCGTGTAAACATATTTTGCGCGGCAGCACCGCACGTACTTTTGTTTATACCTCGACGTAACGCTCGCAAGTTTACCATCCGATTGTATTTACTTCGGGAAGCATCTTCAGATATAACACGATGATCGTTGGAATCATCTCGATGAAATTGCTTTTCCGTATCTTGTTTGTGACAACTCTTTTTCTTTCCCCCTCCTCTATTTTTCAAAGTCCAAAGTATACGCTCTCGCATGCAATCGAAACAGACTCGAACGCGAATTGTGAATTGCACCGAATTGCGGATAGTTGAATTTACCTGCGGTACGTTCATTCGACGAATAAAGTATGGTCGCGTGCTGCACGTGACCGTTATTATTAGCCGACGATGATATCGTACGACACGCTGGCCACTCGATTAACCGGATCGATACACCTACAGAGTCGCGTTTTGATCTCTCGATAGGATCTGTTCGGCGATGGGTGAACTCCCTGCCTATTTTTTTTTTTTTTTTTTAAGTGTAGAGGAGCGAAGTACCGTGCGTGTACTACCACCGTTCGTAACGTACCCGAATGTTGGTTCTGGCGTATCGTGGGTACCGATGGGGGCGCAGGAATGATTTTCGTAACGTACATTATTAATGAGCCGCACGCGGTCAGCTGTGCAGTCCATATGGGGCTGGCTGGGAGCACGCACCCCCGTTCTATTCTTTTCCGCACACCCTTCGGTCATCGGCTTTTGTTCGCACGCGCGACCGACCTGCGAACGATACCTCCTGCGCGTTGCGCTCATGGGGGTATCAGCTGTGCTCACACTCGTGCATCTCTGACAAACAACCCTCTGGATGGCACTACGCGCTACGAGGGTCGAACGGTATTTAAAATCAGGATTAGCTGGCGCGACGATTGTGACCCGCATGCGCAGGGTAACTACTCCCGGCCATTTAAATTGCACGCGACGATTTTGCATGGAACTGCTGTTTAAACGGTTACTTGTGCGGCGGAACGCGCGTTTGAGAAAGAGGAAAACACTCGATTAGGAAATATCGGAGCTTCCGAGATGGTCAAGGTTATATAATTTCATTTTTTTTTTATTTTCTAAGTTATTAATTTGTACGTTTTCTCAATTCATAATTCGTAATTCGTGTTGCATGGAGTTCAATAAAGAGGGTTAGCCAGAGAAATCGAACAGATGTGCCAGATTTTCCCGTGGAAATTCGTCGAATGTCGTTTGACAGAGGGGCAAACAGGAATCGGGGGATCTTATGATTCCAACTGAAAGCAACGCATGACTCACGATTAGCAGCCTAGCGACGATTGCGTTTTTCAGCAGGCTCCTTATAAAATGATTCACCAGAAGTTCGCAAACAAAACGCGTAACGGGAGAAACGAAATTGCACGTATCTTCTATTCGAAACTCTTTGCTCGCGTTATCTCTCTTTTTATCCCCGGATTGCGTTGCGCCGTGCCGGCATCATGCTTCAATACTTTAACGAACATTGCGAGGATTTGCATGTATCTTATCAGTCGCCGATACAATTAACAAGCATGCGAGTCGGTGCTTGTGTTTGTAAGGTTATCGCAAATGCGATTTGACGTACGTGCATTGGTCAAGCTAGATCGTGCACGAGGTCAAATTTTATATTGCATGCGATTACAAGCGTCTCGATTTGGACGTGCTCAGCTTTTCGGTCGATTCCTTTATTTCTCCATTCTACACGCTTACTATCGATGCAAAGTTACTCGTGTTTGTTATTGTTCTCATCATTGATCGCGTGTTACACAAGTGTAAGATCAATGTAACTAGAAAATAAATGGCGTTGTACGTGTCGTATAACGTGTCGTGTGGTACGAAGATATACATGTTTGGTTGTTGTGTGTTTTCAGACTTTATGAAGAGTCGTAAACGTAGCCTAAACGGTAGCGCGAAGAGCATGATAGAGCCGCCGGAGAAGATGGCTCGCAACGCGGGTCAGATACGCAGCTAAAAGCCTTCCAGCTTCCTCCTTCAGCCTCGCTGTCTTCTTCCATCTGTTTGGAGCGCGAGTGGAACCGGAAAACATGAAGCATCACTGCCAGGAGGAACGAGAAAGGCAGAAAGCTCTGGCAGGAGGCGCGAGGTCCGTTGGCTGTGCCATTCACGTAGATTTATCCGCCATGCATAACGGTGGGAAAAATAAAAACAAAAAAAAATGGGGTAGTGCCGTTTGTTTCATTGTGTACGCATGTCGTAGACATGCCACGGAAATTTACAAAGTAAATTTACAACAACAACAACAACGACTATGATAATTGGATGAACGGACAGAAGAAGAACGATATTCCATGGTTGTTGCTATCTCCTTTTTTTCTTTTTTCTTCTCTTTTTTTTTATATATATATGTCACTCGTGTTCTTTTGCATTAGGCTCTAAACAAATTAGAGTATATATAACGAGAGAGATGATGAGAGAGAGAGAGAGAGAGAGAGAGAGCGTGTGAGTACATAAGTTTTTCACGAAATTAATTAATGTAATATATTTTCCATTTAATTCTGAAATGAACCGAAGACGAGTGAATAATGGGATACGTACGTACACTTCAATACAAGTGTAAAAAAACAAAATATATATATATATAAATACTTCTTGGACTTAGATGTTAAGAATAGGTATTAAGTGAAAGTGAATTGCGTTTCTACCGCGTGAATATTTTTTTTTTTTTTTTTTCTTTTGGAAATCGGAAACCTTTTTGAATAATACTCCGTGAGTTTTCATCGACTGTTCCATTCGATGGGGATCCACGGATGTTTTTACGAATATTTCGAAACAATAACGAAACTGGATTCATCGGACAGAATTTCGCGATAGTTTCGACAGTATATACTTGAAACGATCGCGAAATTATAAAATGTTGGATTTTTTTTTACGTGTAACGTACAAAAAATAGAAGAAACAACATTCGGACAATGATTTTTACACATTTGAGAATAAAATAGAGAAACGCAATCATGTTTTCGTAGCCGAAAAGAGACCGATTCCCGAGGACGATTAACGGAGAGAAAGATATAATTTAGATTGTAGTTGGTTACCCGCGTTTAAGCATTGATCTCCTGTACGATTTTAAGAAAGTACAGCCGATGCCAAATCATCCCCGCGATATTTTTCTTTCCTTTTGTACCTTCGAGGAAGGTATCTTTGTTATATTTGGCCTCCTCCTCCTCCTCCTTCTCCTCCTCCACCCCTCCCTTTCCCTCTTTCACTTCGTCACCATAAATTCTGCTAAGTGTTAGAGTAAAGCTTCGTGAAGATTGCAATTTTTTTTTTTAAATCATTCTTTCTGTCAAAAAAAAAAGAAAAAAAAATGAGGAGAAAAAGTCATTGAACGAATATTGTATTATCTTCATGCGAGTTTCGTGCAGAACGACATATAAATCAAATTTATAGTTGCTCTGTAAATATAAAATATGCAATCCTCGTTTAGCTTTTTCAAAGAATTTTGTATTTTGTTATCTTCGTTCATCATTTCTGTACAAAATCGTCACGAAGCCGAGTCCTGTTATATTTTTAACGTTTTACGATCAGACTTCAGACATTGGCGACGTAGCCGCGGTCAAAGCCGTTAAAAGTTCTCCGTAGTCTATAAAAAAAAAAACCTACCGCTTTTTGTTTTTCTTTGTACAGATATTAATAGGCTGAACGCGTTTTGCGCAGCGTACACTTAAGAGAACGTTTTATTAGGTTTATTCGGGAATAATTGACGAGTACAAATCGTAGCTTCTGGAGGTCTTTTAAACGGTTCTTGAAAGAATTATGCAGGGATGCAACTTGTATTCGAATCGTTTTACACCGTGTTAACGAGAGCACGAGGTGTTTGACGTACACACTGCTTGACGTACATTTTGGAACGAACCAAAATTTTCCTTTGTTATTTTCTTCATCGCTGATGAATTTACGTAAAACGTACTATTAATGTAAATGTAATTGTATATCTTAAATGGCATATTGATTTTATAATGGTAGCTGTTTATTACAACTTCTTCTTTCTCTCTTCTTCTTTTTTTTTCTTTTTTGTTTGTGATAATTTGGTTAACGCCACCCTGTGAAGTATCCTCCATATACCCTCCCCTCCTCTCTCCCCACTCGGGTACACATTTTTTCCGTTCATTCCTCTCCCACTTTGAGATTATAATTCAAAAATACGACTGGTGGTTACAAGCTATTTTTTTCGTAGTTAGCTCGCGAAGTGCGCGCCATGAGTGGCGGTACTGATTCGTTGTGGAATTCTAATGGTCGTTTTTCATACCGGTTACTCTGTATTCTCGATGTTTCAATGGCGCTTTCATAGCCGCGATACTTGCATTACGAGAGCCTCGCGATAAGAAGTCAAATTGAAGCAGCAGTTTTGTACGGAGCGCGTTTGAATTTTGATTTTCCTCCTCGACGAAACTTTCAGTTCGCTGACTACTCGTACGGGCTCGAGCAAATCTGTGAAATCCTAACGAATTATCGAAACAAAACGATGATTCAACGGCAGACTGTGTACGACGTTTTCGGTCTTGGCACTTTTTCTACTAATATATGACAAAAAAGACGCGTCGAACCGCCGTGGAATCTCGTCAGATCTGAAAGAATCGCACTAGATGGAAGAATGATAGTCTGCCGTCGAGAAAGAAACGAAAAAAAATAGTAAAAGAGAATAATCTTATGCCTATGTAACCCTGTGATGTATTAGTATGATCTCAGTAAACGTAACGTAGCGTGTACTTCTTATTTGTAATAAGCATAAATGTATATGTGCGTTTCAAAACGTGACGCCTCAGTAAAAGAAAAAAAAAAAAAAAAAAAAAAAGAGTATGAAAGGTAACATATGTTTGAGCACGAGTGGCCGATGTTTGTTTATGTGGGTGACTGTTGAAAATGAAAGAAAGACGAGCAAAAAATACCCAGTGTCTCCGCGTAAAAGATTTCTATGCGTAACGACAATATATTATTATATAAACTATAATCGTAACAGAGTCTAAAAAAAACTAACCTACGTAAGTAAATGCCTATGTTTATTAAAAAAAGATTTATCTGAAAGAATTTGTATCTTTTCTTCATGCGCCTAATGTCCAAATCTATGTCACGTGTATGTATGTATACATGTACATCATTCGTGGACAGTTAGCACAATTTTATTTTATTTTATTTTATTTTATTTTATTTCATTTTATTTTATTTTGTTTTGTTTTATTTTATTTTATTTTATTTTATTTTGTTTTATTTTATTTTGTTTTGTTTTATTTTATTTTATTTAAATGCGACGGCAGGAGGAGAAATTGAGATTCAATTATTTGTATTCGAGTACCTGTCTCGTCCCAGATTCCCACGTCAATCAAACGCCTTTTCATACTTTTTATACTAATTGGTTTGGCTCTTTGGTATTCTTCCTCAAACGTGTCATCTCCTTGTTACAGCAGTGTACAACGCTTCCTAGAATCTCCTGAATCCACAATCAAAACCTCCCGTAGAATCTTCCTGCACTAAATGAGAAGCAAAGAGAATTTTTCTCGGTGAGAAAAATTGAGGCAGGTGCAACAACAAGAACTACATGCAGCACCGAGTTCTTGAAGCTGACTTAACAAACAGGTGCCTCTGGACTTGCGTGTATTTGCCTTTGGTAAGTGACACTGATTTTTATCTCTGCTTCGTTTGAAAGGGAAACATTTTTGAAATACGCATTTACAATGCTATTAGGACCATTTTCTTTCAAAGTGAAAAGAATTTCAAAACGTAAATATTACAGAAAATGCAAACATCTCGATAGAAAGAAAGTTGATTGACATCGAATTAAAAAAGAATATAATTTGCTGTATCAATTTCAAATCAGGATGGTTATGAACACGAAATGCAAACATGATCGCTTCGCATCAACAAATTTGCAAGTAAATTAACGTTCGAGCGAATGATACTGATACAAAGTACATTCTACTCACTTTGAATACAAAGTACATTCACGGATTTCACGCGTATTTTCTAATTGTTCGGTTCTCATACGGATCTAACGGCGATTTTGTAATCACACGTTTAACATTATACCGCCAAATGGAAACAAATGCAACGAACGTTGGTCGGGACAGCGCCCGCTGTAATTTCAATTGAAGTTATTGGATCGTTCGGTGAATATAAAATCGAGGTCAGAGGATTATGCAAGAACCTCTTTAGTGAATCAGATTTTTGTTCCTCAGCGGGTACAAATAACCACTATGTTGAAAATTCAAATGACAAATCCAGTGCAACATATTTCCATGAACAACAATATTTTTGAAAATATTCTTTTGAAACTTTTTGTTCGAAGAACCGTACGCTTATTTTATACTGAAATGTGTGTTTTTTAAAATACGGTACACGCGTTTTTCAGCAATTTCTTTAGAATCTCTGTACACGTACATTCGTTTCGCGCCTCGGAAAAAGTACGTAAAATACGTCCTGTTTTCTATCACACGTATTTTTATACACCATACTGAACAAGTTCTTTTTTAGTTACTAGTTAAACGTGATATTTCACGCAGAGATATTTTTTACATTTCCGATTTGATTGAGACACAAAACATCGGCTCGAAAACTGCTTGTACACGAATGTGCTACTTTTAATTTAACGATTGCGATTGGATGCGTTAAACGCGTTAAAAATGCAACGTTAATAAAAAATCTGAATCGATACGATTGTTTGTTAATATTTCGAAAGTTATTTCGCAGAAACGATTTGTTTGTCGAGCTCCTTTTTTCCACAACTCATGTCCTCGTTGTGCCTCGACGTATAAACACGCGCGTTCACTATAGTTATGCTTCTATGCAATCTCTGTTGCTAGGCGCACCTCGGCCCACCAACAGTATTTTTAGACGATACGCTCACATTTCGACGTTCATTCTTGAATGAGAGTGCTCTGTTCGTAGACCCGTCCACTATGATCCATAGAATTCTTCAAATATATCGGTTCTTTTTTCTGTAAAAAAGAGGACCTTGCTCGTTATTCCGGCAATGCGTTTTTACGTTTTATTTTTGCTAAAAAACGATATTAGAATTTGTGGAATTTATTGATGTTTTTGTATATTTTTTTGAACAAGCCGTTCCCAGTTTTCGATAATATTATTACTCGTATTGCGTGTATCGTCGTTCGATGCAACAACTGCGAAAAAATTTAACACGTTGCGAGATTGCGTAAGAGAAAATATTTTATACAGAATATATATGAACATCAAGAATTGCACGTTAATATCTCGTTAAAGAAGAAACATTCGTCACAGATATTCGTAATTAGAATGACAGTTTATTGCGCGAGGAATATTGATCGTTTAATTTTTATACAATTACGTTTCGTGTTGGAGAAGGTCTCCGGGGATGAAAGCCGGAAGTGACCTCGATTTTGTTATCGACTCGCTACCGTGAGAATTTGTATATGCAATGGCAGACAACGTTCCTGAAAATATTAATAACTATTGTTTCGATCGCAAGTTCCAATCGCAACCAAAAAGACAAGTTTAATTTTTTTAAATTATCTCCGCAACACGTTGCATGGATTCAAATATTTTATTAAAATGTTATTATTAGAACAATGATATAAATTGTACGTAACAATTGAATAATTTAAAGCACGTGCGATTATTGTGCGTCTTAAATTTTGAAAAACATCGTAATGAATAGAAATAGTCTTTTGGAATTTTGCGATAGTAGCGGCAGGTAGTGGTCGGAGTAGGAACTGAAAATGTCGGTAACTAGGCCCATTGACAGAGGTACATCCGATTTTAACCTGATTTTACGCAAAACTATACAAACTGACATTGATATTTTTGATCAGAGAGTTATTTAAATATTGCTTCAGATGCGAAAAGAATCGTATAGCTTGGTCAAAATTGCAACAACAAATACCATGTCAATGTTATTTTTTGAAAATGTATGTTATAACATTTCTTGGACTGAACTCTTTAATTCTTTCAACTCATCGATACTAATTAAATCCATCTTAATTTTTCAAACACACATAATTTAAGACGCACAATAATCACACGTGTTTCAAATTATTCAATCGTTGCTTAATAAGGTACATTTATATTATTGTTCCAGCAATAACATTTTAACGAAATATTTAAATCTATGTAACGTGTTGCGAAGATAATTTGCAAAATTCAGCTCGTCTTTGGTCGTATATTAGACGAACGAGGGGAAATATTACGCCATTTCATAAAAGAGGCATCTAAATTCGATCATGAAGCTCTCTGCTTCGTAAACCGGAAGTCGACAGCGCTGTGTCATCCTGATATCATTTGCCTCCGATTAGCAATGATAGCCCATTTCCTCGTTAGAAGATTTTAGAAGCGTGCTCCAAAACGGCGGAACTTTCTGAAAATTGGCACGAACATCACCGTTTCTCTGTATCCTAATGAACGTTGACTTTGCCTTTCGTGACAATTGCGTTTCTCTTCCTGCGATCTCGTGTCACTGTTCGAAAGTAATCTGCCGATTTTGTTCTCGAATTTAGCAAGAAAGAAAGAAGCCAGAGTATTGTAGTAGGGGCGGTGGCCGTTACTCGAAGTGGTCTTCGGCATTATTTTCGTACAACGACTTCCTGAAGAAGAGCCTCCTTCGGAGGTTCGCTTCTTACAAATTGCGCCACAGATGCAACGTACCTGTTGTTTACCACATAGCGGGTTCAAAGCCCGGTCAGTGCAACGGTCCTCCACCTTCCTCGCCTTCCTACCCTGCTCATCTTTCTTGCCCCACCATTGGTGAACATCATCCCATCCCCTACCGTCGCGTCGGCCTCTTCAGGTAAGGACAAAGCGGTAGTTGGCTGTGATTCGAAGACTTCGAGGATGCGCAAGACGAGGAGCTCGCTTGTACCTCTTTTGTAAGGTACACACGGCGTTTGGCGAAGGCTTCGTGCCTTCTGCTTCTTTTGATCGGCCTCTCCTTAAGAGACCATTTTTTCCACCCAATCCTTTTATCCCTTAATAATCGCTTCTCGGATCCTTCAAGAAAAAGAAGCGTTCTAATCGTTAATACCGAGGATGGAGCTCGGTCGCTTCGCATCGTGTACGTTTTCTCAATGAAACGTTCGTACACAGAACGTTTACCGTTAATTCTGACGGTATGTAGACACCTAAGACTGGTTTCACTGTTTGTAAACATTTTCAATGATCCGCGAAAGCCACGTCAAAGTTGGTCACCTAGAATCTCGGTCTCGGGGGCGACTTGTGTCGGCTCGCGTGCGTTTTCGGTTAGATTTTCATTGAGTTTCATGAAATCGGAGGATCGAGGTGAGCGAGTCCTACCCGAAGAACGGTAGGGTTGGTTGTTGACGAAATACGAAAGACTGAAAGGGTGGAGAAGTAGCAGGGTTGATAGTGTGGTAAACCGAGAAGAGTGGACGAACCAATCCGGAGGGAGGTCGTACTACGGCGTAGTACTCCAGTGGGATCAGGGTTCAAAGCCCGGTCAACACCATGTCCATGGTTCTTTCTCCCACTCCTCTTCTCTTTCTCTTCCATGACGCTTCTCCCCACTCCATCGCCAGCTTCTTCTCTCGACTCTGTCTCTCGCGTTGTACGTACCTCGGTTATTTCACGACCACCACCACCACCATCACCACCACACACACGTGCTAACATCACCATGGACCCTCTCTCCCTCTTCCGACTGTCTTTCTCTCTGGGCACCGTGTTGGCCGCGGTGATTCACCATCGGTCGGAGATAAGGGGGCCAATGAAAGGAAACTGTAGAGGGCAGCACCGGAGAATAAGCGTATACGTGCTCCATTTGCCGGAGGGAAGGTGATATCGGGCAACGAAGATGAAAAATCACGAATCGGTTCGTGGCTCCTGTGTTTATCCCGTTCCTCCTCCATGTATTCCTCTTACGATCCTGTCCGTGGACAGAGAAAGAAAGAGAGAGAGAGAGAGAGCGAGGATTAACATCTGTCAGAACCTTTGCTTCGCCGATTAGTTATCAGTTTATGAACCGATGTAGACATTTCTGTTCGATTAAACTTCAAACGACACGATTTTATGACTCCGAAAATGCATACGAGAATGTTGGTAAA